CATTTACAGTAAAGAGCAAAACTGAACGCATTTACGATACGAGTTTGTTCGACGAATTAATGTCTCCATCATTGTTAATATTTGTAAACACTATCTTGGACGGAAACAATAGCGGTAGAAGAATGAACAACGATTTAATTATTCACAAAAATAAACAAACTTCGATTTTGTCGAAACTGAAGCCCCGGATAAAAAAATGTTATATGAAATAATAATGATATCACGAATGTTAAGTTTGTTTTGAAAAGCCAGAAAATTGTAGATAATACTAAATAATTTGTTTCTTTTGTATTCTACGTGCAAATATTGAATAAAAAATGTTTGTTCCCTTACTGTAGTCCCTAATTATCCATTCCCTTGAAGTTCTTCTATTGTTAGGAACTGTTTGCAAGTTCTTGATTAGCAAAACTCGTAAAATCTAACCGGTGAAGAGTATCAAAAATGAGAATCTTTAAAGTAATTTCAACACTGTCACACCCAAGAAACAAGCTTCTAAGAGTGTTGCACTATCGTTAAAATCTTTCGTAGAAGTAGATCGAATATCGTAAAATCCGAACGAAATTTTTTAATTAGAAAAATCGCAGGGCCTGACCGATGATTCTTCCGATAGTGTGGCGGAACGAGCTGGCTGGATTACCGATTTACAATTAACTTCGACCCTCTGAGCGCCCCGATATAGGTATCTGGCCGTGTGTCGAAGACCCGTTCCTCGTTTCTCTCTGTCAGACATCCCTCCGTCGATTTCCGCTCGTCGGAAACGTCATGTGGCGTATTAATTGGACCGTCACGAGATAAAGGAGGATACATTTTCGATGTTGTTGGTCGAAAGTCTGCGAGCAAACCCTCCATTAAACCTTAAATTCGTACGTGTTCGTAAATGGAACACGATACGTGTTGTAACACGCGATAAGATTCAAAGCGGAATCGGGCAAATTTTTATTCGCGAACAATGACTAGATATTTTCGATTTATAAATTAAAATACAAGTTAAGAAATTCGTTACGGCTGACGTTTATGGAAGCTACGAGCAAAAGTTAGTCAAAGAGTATGAATAGAAATGTTCGATCCATTCATAAATTAAAATACAAAATTTCTTAATTTGTTACGATCGACGTTTATGGAAGCTACAAGCAAAAGTTAGTCAAAAAGAATGAATAGAAATGTTCGATTCATTCGTAAATTAAAATACAAATTTCTTAATTTGTTACGATCGATGTTTATGAAAGCTACGAGCAAAAGTTAGTCAAAGAGGAATCTCTATCGCGTACGGTATAAAAAATTATATTAATTTTGGCGCGTTTAAAGCAACGATCTCTGGATCCTTAATATTTGTGGGCGCATTGCGCGCGGTGTTTGTGTTCGGTGGAATTCCGGGCCGATCGAAATAATTACGGGCCGCGGTTATCCGAGGCGAGGATGAGTTTTTTGTAAGGTCTGGACAAAACGGCGGCCACAGAACATGTAGGAACGAAACGAACGACCGCTTTCTTTGTAGACATAGTGCGCGTTCCACGGTGCTTCACGAAAAAGGAAGAGAATTCCCCGTTGCCGGTGCCCGATGTTCGGATTTCATGGTGCCAAGCCAGAAGACAGAGAAAGTCTTACTCCCGAAGTCGATGGCGAGAACGTGGTGACAAATTAAAATGAGTGAGAGAGGCAGGTGGTGGTATCTCGAGTACTTCGTTTAAAGTTATGTATGCCGAGCCAGTTTTCGGTACCATATGCTGCGACAAGGGATATCGCAATTCGCAAGTCTGCAAAACATACCTCTTAAAACGCTTCGTCATTTTATTAATACACGATACACGCTGTTCTCATGATTTTTACCAATGACTTCCTTCTCCGACGAATCGTGACCCACCGACGGGTCACCTCGTATTCTTTGTTCCTTCTATGTACATATATTACAAGTAAACATTTTTGTCATCATTTTTTGTATAGAAGAATTTTTGTCTTCATTTTTTCAATTTTTATTCCGAGACTTCGTGCTCTTAAATGTTATACGGTATTGCGGGAAAATGCAAAAGAACCCGAGCTGACGTACAGTACCTGTTAAAACGTAATATTGGGATAATATCCGAAAAAGTTTATCTCGTAAATATTTCGTTTGCGTCCAGGTGCCGACTTCACGTTGCAGCGTTAAAAATTCGAAAATTAATTTTTTTAAATTACTTTCCGATTGATTAAATTTAATTATAAACTTACTTTCTCGAAGCCTTTAAAATCGGCCACTTTCAAACTCTTGACACTTTATCGATAAAGCAAGAATTAATACAAAGTACGCGTACGGGTTGCTGTTCCATAAATTATAGCAACTCTTTACTTGGAGAGACGGGATGTATTTACCGCTACTTTTTATTTATGTGTTAAGCGAAGGTTACGATAACCTACCCGTTCAATAATTTATTAAACAACGGTAGAGTTACACGGTAAAAACTATCGACATAACGGGCGTGTTAAGGAGTTGAATTTTCCAAATACGCGGATAGAAATATTCCAATGTTTTCAAATTTTTAAAGGAAAAGCGTGGCACAGTGAAAATGGAAACAAGTAGGATAAATCAAAAGGAGAGCACGAGATCAGCGATGCGTGACTCCCCCCTGGGAAGGGTCAAGCGGAAGTAGAGCTCGAACCCCCAAACAGTAATAGGTCGCGGGGATGAACTACAAATTAACCAGCAGTCCAATTCAACCGACATAGTCATCATCGACGTGGATCATCGTTCTGTGCATAGCTGCATCGTCACCATATGCCATCTAGAGACTCGCAGTCTGTGCCCTCAGAACGTGTCCATAATGAAAAAGACAATTTTTCGAAAATATATTTACGATTAACAAGAACAAACGAAATTAGAATAGCGATCACTGGACTGTGTATCTTTCTGCAAATTCATATTTATATTAATAGAATTAACGAAATGGGAGCTTTGCGGAGGGTTGTTTCAACCACAAAATATAATAATTCGTATCTTACTTTAAGTATTTCTTATATTTTTGCATATTAAGTGCATTCTGTAGTTTTTTGAGAATTATAATTTAGTGATGACAAACTGCCATAGAACTAGTTGAAACTAAGTTTTTCCTTCAGCACGTTCACAGATCAAAACCGTACAATATTCTGCAAGACCAAAATTGTAATTTTGGACCATTGTAAGCTATACAATCTAAAATTTGTTACAGTACTTATTTTTGTGACCTTGCTAAAAATCTACAAATTCTATCCAAATTTATTTCCGTCGATATCTCAACTTGAGAATTAATTTTTCCAGCTCCATAGTGGAAAGTGTTAATAAGGAAACTTGCGATAAACCTACAGTTGAACAATTATTCTGTGATCGAATTTTACATTTGAAGTCTTATTTGGCTCGACCCTCAGAGACCTTAATTTCGTCTCTTCTATCTTTATTTCGAGCTCTCTTTAATCCATACGTGGTACAAGAAGAGCTAACGGATCGTTTATATGGACTCACAAAAATGTTTTCAAGATATTAAACTATCTTCTAAGTTTTTCCTAGACAGCACGATAAAGAATATTATTATTTCTCTGGAAAATGAATACTCGTCTTTTTTTAATATCGAATGAAGAAACACTACATTGAGGTATGTCATGAGACTCGACTTTGTTTGGTTTTAACGGCAATGTCGCGTGATACTCCCGAAATGGATTTACGTGGAGACCGAGGGGCAGCAACGCTCCGCTATCGTCAAAGCAAGAATCTTCCCCAGGGACGATAATCCCCTTCGCTTTTGTCATTAAATGCGCATTATCGCATTGCCTGCACCCGCGCTACCGATCGACTTGTCCACGTGACTTTTAATCGAATCGATCGATAGCTTCCGGTTACGTCCGCGTATCGCTTTGGTAAAGCGATGTTTGGTCATCCCGATTATCCGAAAGAATAAAAATCTCTTTTCGATCATGTACCGCCTCGAATATTGGAATGCCACCCACACCATCTTAGCCAACCAAGTTGTACAGGGTGTACGGCCACCCCTGGGAAAAATTTTAATGGGAGATTCTAGAGGCCAAAATAAGACGAATAAATCGAGAATATTAATTTGTTGATTGAGGCTTTAAAAAGTTATAGAAACATTTTCGGTAAAGAATTTTTTTCTCGAAAATACGTAGGATTTCGGGGGTATTTACCAAATAATGATTGCAACTGACCCCTGCAACTGAAAATAATTTTTTTAAAATGATTTGCAATTTTTTAATGTTGTCGAAAAACTTCACGTCTACTAGAATTTTGTTCTCGAAAGTACGTAGGATTTCGGGGATATGTCTATCAACAAAAAATAATTATAATTGACCCCCGCAACCGAAAATAATTTTCCCAGAACAATTTGAAATTTTTTAATTTAATTTTTTAATAACTTTTTAACGAAGCTACAATCGAGAAATTGATATTCTTGATTTTCGTCTTATTTTTGCCTCTAGAATCTCCCGTTAAAATTGTGCCCAGGGGTAGCTGGGGTATGCCCTGTATATCTTTACGATAATTCTAATTCTTACAATTGTTAGTTAGGTTTGCCTCTTTCAAAAAGAGAAAGTTTTCTTTCATTTACAAAAACCATCGACGTGCGTGTTGCATTTCGCTTTTCGAGGCACAAGTCAAGAGGGTGGAGGCAGAGTCCCTTCCTTGGCTTATTTAGACAAAGAATAGGACCGATTGGATCTGTGGGTATACGTGACGAATTTTTCCTCACTGACGGTCAGTGACTGACCCTTCTCATTCTGGAAGTTTCTTTCGAACTGAACAAACGTGCCCTTCCAAGTGTCTAGAATAAAGACAAAGATTAGTTTAAAAGAAATATTGGAACTGTATGTTTTATTTTTATTTCATCACCTATTTCCAATAGCACATTTGTAAATAATAATACAATAACGAAATTCACAGTTACATTAAGAGAAAGACCGATGATTTATTTTTCCTAAAATAGTACTAGGTATAATTTATTTATCCTGGTCGGTTCGATGGATACACTGTTTTCATATTTATTAAGATTGTTCGATTGGCCTGCTCGAAAAGACCGTGAAACGGAAAAGTATACACAAAAGGAGACAAACGGTACAGGTGGCAATGGAAAACGATCAGCTGCGCGTTCCAACCTCCAAGAACTGGCTTTATATGTATACATATGTGTGCATATACATTGCTGTAGGCACGGTTACGCGGGAACGTTCATGCTACCCGCATATCCTGACGTTTCATTGCAATCCTTCTTGATGCGTAATCGCGCCATTAACTTTGACCACGATTTCCAATTACGTCCGATGTTTAACACCTTGCCGTCGAATACGGATGGTCCTCGTTCGACCAAAACTTCCGCTGCTTATTTTACAGAGGCCATAATTCCGCGACAAAAATCATGAAAATAAGCATCTGTTCTCTTTTTTAGCTAAAGCGGAAATCACCTTGAAAGCTAGCGAAACGAGATCAACCACCACGGTGTGTAAATACTTCGACTTTCATGTTGAATCTCAATTCGAAGTTTCACAATGATTATCGTTTGTAAAACAAACCTTTCTTTTTAAACAAAATTTGAAAAACCATCTTACGGATTCAAAAATCTAAAACTATTTTCAGGAACGACAAATCACACTTTCGTGATTTAGGATTCTTAGTCGCGTCCCGTGGTCCAAACGAGGGAAGTTGAATGGATACTGACAGGTAGTTTGAAAAAGAAAAACTAAAACAGGTGCAACGCTCGGTTCGGCGCGGCGGCTAGACTCATTTTATCTTCACTGATTTATCGACGGCGAACAAATTGTACGCTATACTTCACCTGTTGCCTCCATAGCCAACTCTATCCCTGTGGAAAAAGAAAAATTTAACCGCAGAAAACAGAAAGACAACTGCTACCTACAACACGCGTCGTCCGTAACACCGATTGGACTCCCATTGTTCTTCGTCGACAAAAACAAACGTATTGTTAATGAAATAACACGTAATAACTAATACGTGTTTAACGTTACTTTATTTATTTCAGTTCCAGCCTACGACAGCGAGCATATTCACGTATTTTGGTTGCAATGGTATCCTTCGATCGAGAATAATCTGTCCCATATTGGAACACAAATGTTCGCTGGGTGCAGCCAATGCTGGAATGCACAAATTTTCTAACGCAGGCTTCACGAGTTCCGGAATCATTTCTTTGCCCTTTGTGTTCTACCACGTAATGGGATTCAATTTCCTGTCAATTACTTCCGAGTTTAAATAGCTGAAAATGTAAACAAAAAAATGTACAAAACGGTAAAAATATATTTTGTTTTAAATAAATTCATTTTCATTTTAGCCTGATTGGAGTAATACTATTTTTATTTAAAAATAATTAATCAATATTTCGTGTATGTACCTATCCAAATCATCTGTAAAAGAGGGAGAAGAATATTCGGTATTGACCCTCTCCTTTTGAACTTTTTGCAACTCTTCCCACAAATGCTCAGTTTCTGCATTGTCGACGGTTTGCATCTTCTTTTTGGACGTGATTTTGTTTCTGGTGTTACCGTACGTTTTCGTCAGATCATCCTTAATCTTTTCCACGGAATTCTCCAAACGGAACACGGTACCCTTGTAACGGGGATCCAGGAACGTGGCGAACCTATAAACCAAATTATTTTCGAAGTTTACGTAATATTCGTCAAATTGGTTCAACAAATTCTTGCGGAAAAGCTCAACGTTCGACTGCAGGTTTTTCAGCTTCTTCAAACGGGCCTCCATGCAGAAAACCATCGGTATTATGTTCGAGATCATGACGTAAGGATCGCTGGACATCTCTCTGGTCGCCCAGTGTAACGGGTCCAAGACGCTAGTTGCTCCAGAAATCATGTTCCAGTCGTTTTCATTTAGGTCAAGAACATTCTTCTCACGCGATGAATTCGCGAAGATAGAAGTCAAAATGTCCCGCAACTCTATCATGCGACTCAGCATCGAATACGTCGAGCTCCAACAATCGATCGTGCGCCTTTTCAGACTCGAGATTTCCGGAAAACCTTCACCGATTTGCTGGTTCCCCAACAAGTCGCTAGTTCGTAAAAACACAACGATTTTTGTGCATTTATCGAACATGTCGTCGATGGTGGTGTTCTTGATGGCTTTCTTCACCGCCTGGTACAGCATATGTCCGAAACACAATATATGTTCCCACGACTTATTATATACAGTGTCCGTACAGTTGCTGACGACCGTCTTAACTTTCGAACGGATTTCCCACTCATTCTCTGTCGCAACGACAGTTTCCTGAATCCGTTTAACCTCGTCTCGCATTGAAAAATGGGAAACCTGCAGAGTATTGCGTTGCAGCGTCCCGTTGATGCAAAAGTGCGCGGTAACGGCAAGAAAATAGAAGCCATTAATATCCTTCCACGAATCAATCGTAAAATGAACGGTCTCGACTTGTGAAAGCTTTTTCTTGATCTTCGTGCATTTGATCTTGAACAAGTCCGGCAGATATGTGGACGTCAAAGTATCTTCATTCGGTAGCTCGTATTTATCGTTTAACACTTTCACGAAATTTACGAAACCCGTACCTTTCAAGATCGAGATCGGAAAAACGTCTTCGGCTATCATTTCTATCAACGAGTTGGTTATTTCTTTGCCCCGCCTCGAATTCTTCTTATATCTTAACGCATCGTCGTGATTTTTCTGTCTACTTGATGAAAAAACTTTAGGCATGCTTGATAGTTAAATAGAACGACGACCACAATAACGTGACAAAAACTTCTACGTGACGTTATCGATAAGATATCGATAATTTATCGATAATTTAGCTCGTAAGCAAAAAGTTAAGACATCGACAATACAGTAGGAACAAGTGAAATTGATATCGTACGCAATTGTTGGAATACTATATAGGGATAATCGCGACATCTATGTTACTATACGGTAGACATTGTCTGTCTATATTTCTGTGTATTATTGCCGTTTCGGTTTTGAACAAGTGCTGTGCACGTGGTCGACCTCTCGGTTTAGTCTGGTATTGGCGGTTAAAACGAATACATCTTACTTTGTATATAAATTCTTGTGAATATAAAACTGTGATTTCTTAAATTATTATTCCACCAACCAACAGAATTAACACTAAACCTACCGACATTTCATGTATATCTAATCCTACCATGAGCGGTCAAATGACAATTTCAAAAAATTTCCTTGAAAATATTATAAATCGGTGCTCTTCCGCGATTAGACCCTTCTTTTATTTTTTGCCAAACAGTTCCGTCCATAGCAGTTTCAATTCCTTCCTCATTTTCACTTTCGGAACTAACTATAAATCTCTTTCTTTTTTGTCCTCTTCGTATATTCAAAATATTCTCTTCGTCCGTATCGCTGTCAAATAAGTCACAATTATTTTCTGCTGTATCATCATCAAAATCGGAAACTTCTTGGTCATCTTCAGAACAATCCTCGTCGATATTATTTATTTTGGATAATAAATTGATATTCCTCGAATGTCTTGATATTTTTGGGGATGAATATACAAATGATAAAGTAAAAAGTAAAAACTAAATTCTAAAAATATAAATCAAACGGGGCAAAAACATTGAGACCAGAAATAAAAAAAAATTGTAAATCATACCACAAAATATTGTTAGCTCTGTTGACTTTGTCGAAACTATCACTTATACCACGTAATAATTTCTATAGTATACTTTGAAATTTTGATGCTCTCTGTTCGGATCGCAAGACCGTATTGTCGTATGAAGAACGCTATGCATTTGTTCCAATCGCACGTTTGTCTACACTGTAGATCCACAATTACCTTGTAGACTCGTAAAACAATTTCAGGAGTGCGCTTTCCGAAGAATATAGTCGTAAATAACATGAATTTTTCAAATGGTCAAATGACCGTTCGTGGTAGACTAGACATACTATAAATTTTTTGCGGAAAGTAAACAATAAAGAAAGTTGTGAATATTGAAAAATGGGTTGTATGTATATTATAGGAAAAGTCAATAAGCCACATGGTGATACATTAACGTTGTATACGAGAAATTCTAAACGAAATTTCAAAAACGGTCATTTGACCGCGCATGGTAGGTTTAGTGTTAAATCGAATATTCCACGACTGTACTGTTTTGAACGCACTTATGAACGTTTATAGTAAATGTAGTATTCATACAACAAATTTTCATGGAATTTCAAACGGAATACGACACGACTCGACTTATTTTTTAAACGGACAATTTATGCGAGGCATCCTTGACAATCCTGGATTCGAAATTCCGTTTGGAGGTTGTTATAAAATATATTCCGTGTCGTCCGAATCGCGACGTATGGCGGAAATATGAAAGATACGGTGTAAAAATTAACGGCGCAACCCCGATATGTGCAGCCAGCAGGACGTGCGTGTCTTAAACTGGGCCAAGTGCACAACAATAAATAATTCCCGGGGCTTAACCGATCCGGTTTAACACGCGTCGTATACGCTCTTTTATTAATACACACGCACACCAAAGTATTCCAACGTTCGTTAATAAGAATATACGTGTTAAACTTAAGTTCTGATAGTAATATTATAACTACTGCAAAGTACAAGAGATCTATTATACAAACTTTGAGATGAATCGCGTAATACTTGCAAAAGTTACGAAGCAGTCTATGGATGCAGTTAACTTAATTTAGTAAACATAAAAAACGGAAATTTATAATTTTGATTACGCTATTCGACGCAATGTTTTAATCCCTAGAAAAAGATATGGGCACAATTATGCCTTAAATGGAATAGTTAAGAAATCATACCACTTTCAAGTGTAAAGTATATCAAAATAGTTTAATAAACATTAAAGAGATATAGCTTTTGAACTCTTAGATTTAGGACATGAGCACCTCCATATTTTTTCGTATAGATTAAAACATTGCATCGAACAGCGTACTCAAAATTACAAATTCTACTTTTTTAAACACTGCAATTGCGGTTGTTAGATGCACCGATGCAACTGGATTTCTTTTTAAAATAAAACTCTAAGATTACAATAGCACTATTCGATCTAGTTGTTTAATCCCCTCAAAACAGTACTGAGGTACTGTCCTCCGCTCACTTGAAGTCCCGCGAGACGGCACAGGGGCAAGGGGAGTCGGACCGCCCATTTATCTGTCTTGCTCACTTGCTCTCAGGCAGTCCACATGTGTGTGTAACTGCCGCGACGAATAGCGAGCTAGAGACCAATGTGTGCGTGGGAATACGTGTGCCCCTTCTACTTCTCCCGCATTCCTTCCGCGGGACTTCAAGTGAGCGGAGGGCAGTACTTATACCATAAACCTAATAGTTCAAGAGTAATGGCAATTTAAAGTAAAATAATTTAGTATACTTTAAAGTGCTATAACTCATAAACTGTTACGTATAGGGCATAAGAGTTTAGACGCTCTTTGGTAGTGATTAAAAAACTGCACCGAACAACGTAATTAAAATTATCCATTTGATCCATTTGCAAAAACAATTGAAACACATGAAACACGTAATTTTTCCCTGTGCGACAAGATCTGAAATTTACTACGTACGCGTCTCGATATTCGGTCTCTATGGAACGTCACGTTCCCCCCGGCGAAACGCACTTTTTGATTTCAGTTTGATCGAGGTGTTTGAATAATCGTGTATCGAGGCGCGTAAATACGTCGATGTATGGGCGCGCGTGTGTCTACAGCTGTCCCTCGTTATTTACGCGTCTCACGAGTCGGCAGAAGGAGCAACGATGCCGGAGGAAACGAGCAACAGGTCCCGACCAAGGAACGGAGAAAAAGGGAGAGTGGCGACTTGCTTCGGCATGACATTTATTTTTATGCCCGCTTATTTGCGCCCGCTTATGGTCGAGCACGTGCTACTCGGATCGATTTAACAGGGCCCGACGCGACGCGGACGCGCCGTTTCCATAACCCTTAACAGACATCGCATTTCGTTATGGAATCGTTCCCGATTCGATATCTCGCTCGTCGTTCCGTGGCGATTGCAACGCGTCATCGAGACAAACGAATACGTCCACTCCAATGGTATTTGATCCATTTTATTTTTCATGGATCATCTAATGGAACCCACCTGGAGCTTTACTACCAGTCAAAATGGTTTCCTTTTCAAACTAACAAGTATATATGTATACGTCATGGATACAAAATTTCCGATGCAAAAGCAAACACAGCCGACAAGTTTGTTTCTATAATTTTTTTTTCACACAACGTATCAATTTTGAAACGTACAGTGAGAAGCAAACCTGAACACACATACCTACGACACTTTAACAAAAACAATTTTTTATGCGATATCTGCACGTAGAATACAAAAGAAATGAAATACTATATTACATTCTGATATTATTACTTCGCTTCGTACAATTTTTTGTTCGTGTAGTCGGTTTTGCATTAAAATTCTCGGGATTGGGAACTGTAAACATAGATTTTGCAAGTAACTTAATAGTCCAACGCTATCGGTTGGTTTATCGTTGTTCGTGCAATAATCGATATAACGTCTGGAAACCATTATCTAAAGATACAGGGTGTTCGACCACCCCTGGGAAAAATTTTAATGAGTGATTCTAGAGGCCAAAATAAGACGAAAATCAAGAATACTAATTTGTTGATGGAGGTTTCGTTAAAAAATTATTAACGTTTAAAGTTCCACCCGTATTGAATTTCTTTTCTCGAAAATGCGCAGGATTTCGAGGGTAAGTTTATCCACCAAAAACGATTGTAATTGACCCCCGCAACTGAAAATCATTTTTCCAGAACGATTTGAAATTTTTTTTTCCGCCGAAAAATTTAGGCATCTACCATCCCCCAGCGATTTATCTTAAAATTTCGTTTTTCATTTTTAGTAATTTTATTTGACGCCCTATAGAAAAGTTGTTTAATTC